TTCGTGATAGTACTTAAATAATAATAAGATTTTGCATATTTAATATTAATATAAGAAAGACGACATTTTTTCCAGTGCTGGCAACTTCTGCCGCTCGCTTCATTTGCAGCCACTGCAGTTGCAATTGCAATTGGCATGGGCGGTGTGTGAAAGGCGGAAAGGGTGAATAGGGGATGGCAAGGTGGCAGGGTAGGGGCGTGCTGCCTCCTCTCTTATCAAGAGCAGGTCATCGGGAGATGGCAGATGCTGATTGCAGGCGGGGCGAGGGGCTCCTCAAAAGAAATGAAAAATGGGTGGCCATAGAAAGTGTAACTTCTTCAAGGGAATAATATTTATGCTGCTGGATAAGCGAGTTCGAGGGGGAAAACTGGAGCTCTAAATCAATAAATTGATAGGGGAAAGACATCCACATCCTGGAGACACGCCACAGCCTATCTACGATGGGCCTAGGGCCAGATCCCAAGGCACAAGTCTATTGGTGAATCTTCCACCAATTAAAAAACCGTTAAACGGCAGTCAATTGTTAAAAAAAAAGTTAAAACTTGCAAGAAAACAAAAAATTTAAACTTGTTTAAAATTTTCATTTGGTTGAAGTGTTTTTTTGATCGATTTAAAGTTATAATTTTAATACATAGGTTAAATATAAAAGTATGATAAACGAGTACTTATGTATTTCTGCATTAGATACTAACATGTACTATTACTCACATATTTTAGGTGTAATTTCACTATTAAGTAGTCTGTCTTTTGGTCTATCTAAGACTTTAGTTCTACTCTAGAATATCTAAGTCAATAGTAAAAGTTAGTAAGCTCTGGCTTAAAATTCAAATGATAGCTAAAAAGATTTAAATTTTAAATTTTACTGAACAATAAATATTCTTTTTGAATTTCTGATAAATTTTTCAATATTTAATTTTTATAAATATTGTCGTTCCTTCCCTTTCACTCCCTAGCTCGCCCTGTCCCTGTCTGTGCGTTAACTTTTCCGTTTAAATGACGAACGCGAGTGCTTAATTTAACGGTAATTTGTGTAGAGCAGTCTACCAGCTCCTCCATCGCATCTTCTCCCTCCCACTTCCTGCTGTCCCGCTCTATAGCAGCCGCTGCGCATGCGCACAATTTACTGTTGTTTAGCCTCCTCCTAATTGATTGCTCTCGCTGTTATTGTTGTTGTCCCTATTGTTGTTGCTGCTACTTATTGCAAATATAAATTATTATTTATTTTTATTGGAGCGAGCGGCGGCGGCGTTTTCGTTTTCGTCACAATTTTTTGCGTAGCCAGCGAGAAATAACAGTAAACTCAAATTGAATGCAGAAATTTATTTGTTTTCATTGTTGTTGTTGGGCTGCAGAAATTGTGTAATAAATAATTTACGCTAGCTTTTGCAGCGTGCCACATAATCATATTCAATAATAATAAAAGCAGCAGCAGCAGCCAAATGGGCTGGGCCGCACAGAAAGAGACAGATGGCTGGAGCGAGCGGGACGGCAGAGTGGAGCTTGTTTGGGTCGCTGACCCAGAAATGTCAAACAGGGAAGTCTTTTAATTTTTATATTTCTCCATACTCCGTACTCCGTTTGTTTTCCCTCTATCGCGTGGTGAGTTGATTTGTGGCACTTTGCTTTCAATAGGACTGCACAATTTTTTAAGTGTTCTCAGTTTGTTAATTTACTAATATTTATGTAGGGAAATTATATTGATTTTTATTTTCTACTTTAAGCTTTATAAGAAAGGCTTAGAAGTCACTCATTGTCGGACAATATTTAGACATATAAGTTTCTTTATTATTCTTACTTAGATTTTTATCCGTTTTCTTAAAGCATATAATTTTAGTAAAAATTTATTTCCTTAGGTTTGTATGTAAGGTATTACTTCAGGAATGGTCGAATATTCCTGAAAAAACGACACCGAAATATTGTGGATTTGATGCTAAAAGTTTGAAAGCTATTAAGGAATACAACACAAAAATTCACAGAAAATACTAAAACCAAAAAAAAACCTTAAAATTTAGAGCTAAATAGAAAAACGAATACTTTTTGAAGTGAGATTTTTTCGTTTTCCTGTTTTCCTATGAAAAACGGAGCAAAAGGGCTCGTTAGGAATTTTTTTTCTATTTTAAATGTTAAAGTAGTATTTAATACAAAACTAAAACTTAAGAGGACAATTTGTTACTCTTTCATTAAGAAAAAACATCCAGAATTATTGTATGTACAATATCCTTTGAAATATTAACAGTTAGGTAACATATTATTAAATTATAATGATATTTTTACTACTTCTCCTCCTCACTTCTTCCGAAGCTCTCCTAAAAAATTAAAAACCTTCAAATAGTTTTTCAATAACTGCGTCTTATTAAAATTATAACACGTCAACAATTTTTAAAGCTAATTTTATCACCAGAGTTATAAGTACTACCATCTGACACCTCCCCCATTTCTTAGATGGCCTGCAAAATCATGAAAACTGCAAAAACCTCCACCCTCTCGCTTCAAAATTCACAATATTTTTTGTTTATTTTAGTTTTTGTGGACACTGGCAGCCAATTCGTCGACACACAGCACTCGTATTACGCTTAATCAGTTTCGTATCTAAATATTTTTTATTTACTTTGCACTGCCCCAAGTAATTGGAGTGGCAAAACGGAAAAGATACAAAAATAATACGAAAGAGCCAAGCTAAAGAACATAAGCAAAGCTGAGGGAAAACAAAGAATAAATCACAAAAATCGAGCCCCTTTTTCTGTTTAATCCCTGTTTGCCTCTCATCCTTCTCCTTTCATTTTCCCTACTCTTTGGACTTCTTCGCTTGTTGCATGCTCGCTCATGTTCATGTTTTTTATGCTGTTTTTGTGTGCATATTTATGTATGTATGTATGTATGTGTGTGCTTGAATTTCATCAGCTTGGGAAATCCTTGCATAATGTTTCTTGTATCTTGAGTCGTCGCTAGCTTATCGTTATCGCGCTTTATCGGCATATTTTTGACCTCAATTAACCCGAAATAGGGCTTTAGAAAGTTTAGTAAAGAAAGAAAGGTTCTAAATAGTTAGGAAAATTAAAATATAGATTAAAAATGTACTTATTATTATTTATCTCGACCTTAAAGGATGCAAAATAACAACATAAAAAGTTAGTCCCTTCAAAAAGGGAACACATGTGTGATTAGTTAGTTAGTCAAAATCATTTGCTAAAAATATTCAAAAACAAATCAAAACAGAATTAGAACTTAAATAAATTAATTTATTGTTTATATTATAAGTTTTATTCGAGTATCTTTATTTCTCTCTTTTAAGTCTTAAATAACTTATTAAATATAATGAAAAATTATCAAAAGCCTAATTTGCAAGTTAAAGCAAAAGTTGTAGCGACTAAAATCTGACAATTAAGGCAACAAATTAATAAGCATACTTTTTCCACATAACCGTGAATCTTTTACATAAAATGCACCAAATTAATATGCAGTGAAAATTAGATTATTATCCACAGCAAATTATGACAATTAAATGTGCCATCAAATTTGTTTTAAAAGCATAAAAGTGTTTTTTACGCGAATTTCGTAATATTTTTCAAGCATTTTCGAGCGCAAAGTTGCGGCTGACAGAGAAGGAGCTAGAGCGAGAAAGAGAGAGGAAAAGCCTGTTTGGGTGAAGTGTGGGTGGGAGAGGGGAGGGGGGATGCCGAGAAAGAGAGGAGTAAGAGCAAAAACTGGTTTTTCATGTTGCACAGTCAATTTTTGATATATGGTGAAATTGATAAAAAAAAACAAAACCAATAACAAGAAATATCCAAATCAGAAATATTGAAAATCAGTCGGAACTTGACTTGAAATTTTAAATATTTTTTACATATTGAACACATACAACACATTCCAATAAGAAATAAAAAAATGCATTTCTATGGCACATATTTATGGTTCCAAATAGAAGACAAGAAACAAAAAACTAAACCAAAAATGTCATTCTTATTTCACAATTTTACACCTGACATATTCCCCTTTTTTTCAATAAAACCTAATCAACATCTACTAAAAATATCATAAGAGTTAATTCCAAATTAGAAAGAATATTTACATTTATTTGGTTAATTCTAAAGGACTGTAAAAATCCAATAAATTTAACTCCTATTAAATAAAATGACTTCTTTTTTGTCTACTACCTTTTTAATACTTTATTCTGGTCCGTTTGAAGATTCTGCTCCCAAACACTCACACTATTTCTACTGCTTTTTTGAGGCCTCTTAAAAACGCTCGCTCTCCTTTTTCTCTCTTTTTTTCAACATATAAAAATCAAAATCAAAAGGCAAGAGCAAAATGCAATAGCAACAACCACAAGCGGAGAGAATTGTACAATTGCAGTTTTTGTTTTGCTTTGACGTTCGCTGGGCAGCGCAGTTGGCGTCACTGCCTCCGCTCATTCTACTGACTCTTCTTCTTCTTCAGCATTTACCTGCTCAACAAGATCTTTGTGTACCCACACACATACATGGGTATACCCACACTAACAGACAACCTACCCACTCACTCTCAGTTGAAACGAGATAGAATGTTCTGTTCTGAGATCAAGTTTGAGTATACCCTTTAATTATTTACTTGTCACTAGTTTACTTATTTAATTTGCATAAAATGTTCTTAACAGCATTTAAGTGTAATACAATTTTTGTAATTTATTATTTTAGATTTTATGACAATTTTATGTTGATTAAACATAAGCAAGATTCTCTGTATAGCAACTGAGATACGACATTTAATATACCCACAAGCTCATCGACTCATAAAGGGCACACAAAGAGCGAGATTTTTTAAGTTTTTTCTCTCACCATGCCACCGCCTCCTCCCCATCACCACTGGCCCCTTCTATAACTACCTGCATGCATGCATGTGCATGTACAGGAGAGGGAGCGAGCGAGAGCGAGAGAGATTGCGATTGCACTGGCTGCGGCCTACGTTGCGCCTACGCCGCCTCGCTGCCGACGCCGCTGCCGAGGCACTGTTGCCGTAGTTTGAGGCTCCAGTACGAACAGTTCTTTTTTAGCCGCGGAGCCAGTAAGACGTGTTTCCTGCCCTCATTCTTTGAGTCTGCGACACGTTTTAAGTGCTCTTCCCCAATTGACAACAACAGCAAAACGAAAAACAACAAATTAATGCCATCGCGAGAAAAGTTGTTTGTGTTTTTAAATCAGTTCTGAACACGAAAAAGCTTGATGAAAAACGCAAAAGAATCCGAAAAACTAACCAAACCATCGAATACTTGACTTGAGTGTTGCTTGACAAATCAAGAAAAAAAGAAAAGAAGAAAAAACAAACCATAACAAAAAACTGCACGAAAAATGCAAAAGTTTCTAATATTCAAAATCTTGCGCAAGAAATACAAAATCAATTAAAGTGAACTCTAACCAAAAAGTTAAACGAAGAAATAAAACAAAACAAACCAGCAAAGAACAATCAGAAGAAGAGCAAAGTGCAAGCAAAGAACAGGAAGGAAGGAAACGGATAAGGACAAAAAGGAACCCAGCTCTCACACACACACACCACCACAATGGCCGTGCCCTTTTATTTGCCCGAGGGCGGCGCCGATGACGTAGCTTCGAGTTCATCGGGAGCCTCGGGCAACTCCTCCCCCCACAACCTCCCACTTTCCTCCAGCGCATCCTCCACTGCCTCCTCCTCGGGCGTGTCCTCCGTCTCCTCGGCCTCGTCCTCGTCGTCCTCTTCCGCATCTTCGTCCTCGGACGGGGCCAGCAGCGTTGCTTCGCAATCGCCGAACACCACCACCTCGTCGGCCACGCAGACGCCGATGCAGTCGCCTCTGCCCACCGACCAGGTGCTCTACGCCCTATACGAGTGGGTCAGGATGTACCAGAGCCAGCAGAGCGGTAAGTCTACAAATATCTTGGAATATCTCTAATAACTTTATCTTCTATACTTTATTATTTTACTGTTAGGGAGGTAATATTTAATTTATTTTAGAGATTTTTATGTTTTGTAGGAATTTTTCATTTTTTTATAGAAATAAAACAATTTAAAAAATCAAAAATTAAAAGATATTTGGATTATTTTTGATTATCATACTGTTTTTCAGACCATTGTATTAAAAGTGACCCCAACTAATTTGTCTCTTGGATTTTGATAATCATTATAGATATTTCAGCAAAAACAAACACCTCAAAATTTTAAGTTTTTTTAAATCTGATAATTTACTTTTACTTACGTTTACTTTCCAATAAAAAACAAAAATATCAAAAACTATCTCATAGTTGAAATTAAGCTCATTTGTAAAATATTGGAAGGACAGTTTCTATTCAAAAAGACACGATCCAGACAAAAGAACGAAACGAATTTATAGTTTCTTGGATGTTAATCATTACTTTATGATTATAACAATAAACAAAAGAAAGTGCAGAGGCTTTTGACTAATTTTAGAGGACATACAAAAATGTTTACTAATGTTATGTTAGAGTATAAAAAAATGATGTAAAAAACAAAGAAATGACGACTAAAAAAGCCGTCCTCTTAGGAATGTATTTATTTTTCTAAAAAATAATGATCGACGATCTGACATAAAGTGACTGTTAGGAACTGAAAAGTGACTAAAACTAGACAAATGTGATATTTATATTAAATCGGTTGGAAAAGTTATCTTAAAATTTGCGTAATTTCACTGTTGCAGTATACCTTTAGAAACTCCTACTAGGGACAAAATAAAAAAGAAAATTGACAAGTTTAGATAATGGTTTTAAGTATTTGAAACCTATTTTGTGTTTCATCTAAGAGTGATCTGAAACTAATTTTTAAGTAAACCTATTTTCAAGAATTTCTTTCTTTCTCTCGGAAATAATTTCCTAAATCAATTACATTTTAAGAAATATTAAATCAAACTATTTCTTCTTTTGGGATTAATGCAATCATAATCCACTGACATATTTAATTTTGTCGAATTCACAAAGATATATTGGGAGGCAAGAAAGTTTTTCTCATTTTTAAATGGGTCAGCAATTAGCCAAGTTGTTGTTGTGACTTTATTTGTTAAATGCTTCAGTTCCCCTTGTGCAAGTTTCACTTTTCAAGGTTGTTGACTCATCCAGCGATTCGAGCAACTGCGTCAACTGCCTCCAGCTTGTTTTTGTTTTCTTTTTTCATTTTTTTCTTATTTTTTTTACTTATATTTTGTGTATGGTCAGGTCAGCACTTTGTCAGCTTATCAGCCAAGAAAAAAGGGAGAGCGGAGGCAACACGAAATTTGCATTAAGTTACTCGGCCACACTCGAAAGGAAGCCGCAACCGAAAACGGTAATTCAATAAAAATTAATCGAACAAGTTCAAAAAGGGGAAAATTGAGAAGTAATTGAGAAGTTTCGAGTGGGGCAGAGGGAGTTGGCCAAATAAACTGGAAGTCACAAAAATGCAAAAACACAAACATGTGGGGGGAATCACTGGATCAGGTAACAGTGAATTGGTAAGCATGTTTAGTTAACTTGGTAAATAGGACAAGATACTCAGATAGGATAAACGATATTACATATTAACATGTGAAAACTCTAAGGTGATCAAGGTAATGATCAATGCGGCTGTGATCATTATCCATTTATCCAGTATCTTTAAGATGAATGCATTTTAGCCTGCACTTGAAAATGAAGTAATAGAAGTTATAACTAGAACAATAAATCAAGCTAAGATCGATATCCTTCGTTTAAAACCCCTTAACTAGGCTCATAAATCTTCCGCCAATCCTGGCTAAAATCTGCTAATGTGGTAAGCTCAACAAACAAAAAAGCGAGACAGATGCAAGACAATTGCCAAGTTGGCTGTCAGGCGATATTATTACCCGTATATCTTGGCAACATAAAAATTGGGCGTGTGCTGGACCAGCAAAAAAAGAGCTGGCCAAAAGCAGGGGAACAGAAACATAAACCAAAAGCGGCAAAACAGAGCTGGGAGCAAAGAGCTAAGCACGTTTAATTGGCACGCGCCAAACTCGAGTCGAATGTCTTACTTTTGAGTTTTTCGAGTAGTTTGAGTCTTTTGAGTATGTGTGGCTATGTATCTGGGTATCTGCGAGATACGTATCTCTGTGGCGTATCTGTTACAGTTCGGCTAACCCAAATTATTAAACGCCATTTGACCTTAGGCAACTAGTTTTCCAATTTTCCAATGGGGGCCGTACAGGGGCTGAGGGTGTGGGCCATTTGCAAAGTGTTTGACTTAACGGTTGTTTAAGTAGCTTTTGTGCTCGGCCACGTTGAGTGCGGTCAGTTTTCTGCATTGTTTTTCTGTTTTTTTGCGCGCGCGCTTTTCATGTTTGCTTTGCGGTTTTCCATTCGCGTTCCTTAATTTTTGTTGCCTTTGCATAATAGATTTTGTCGCTGTCGATGATTGCCAGCTGCGGTCGGTCTATACCGAATCGTTGTTTTATTATTTTCGCTTTTTTATTATTTGGTTTGTTACCTTTTTCGCGACTGTCAGCAACAGTTGGTCAGCCAAAAATAAAAAACTGAAAAGAGTTCCCTTCTTGGTTTTCGGGGTGACTCACTTTTGGGCGTTTCTATATTTTTCAGCCGTTAAGATCATATTTTATAATTATTTGGAAGGGAGAGGTTTAGGCTAACTAAAAATTGTGATTGCAAAGCTTTTTTAATCTGATTTTCGGTTTTCAATAGCTACCCTCCAAAGTCAAGTCTCATTTTTCCCAAACATGTCTTTAAACAGCCCTTAACTACACTCAACGACCATGTACTTCAGTTAGCCACTCGAGTGGATAATTTATCTAATAGTGACACATCCCGAAACTAGTGAACAATGCTTAAGGCACTCGAATCAAGAACGGGATAAACTGTAGTTAACCAAGAAGCGGGCACCCTTTTCCTGGTTCCCCTTGCATGCATCGATGTAAGCCAGAATTACGGAATACTTTTAGCCACAAACGCGCTTAGTCATCAGCCAGCTAGCTAACAACCCTAAAAGCCTAAAAATGCGAGGCGCAAACAACCCCGACAAAATTCCTAAATACCAACAGAGCTTTTCCCTACCAAAAACAAAAAAAACCCAAAGGGAGCCTTTTGTTTTGGGAGAGGATTAAGCACCCAGCAGCCAACATCCAAAGAGCCCAACACCCTTTTAACCCATTCCAAACGGCGCCCAACAAAAGGTGCAATGACAGCAGTGGTTCCTAATCAGTGATGAGCAAAGATGGTACTTTAAGTCGTACCCAGTTGAAGTTTATAGATATTTCTTGAATAGACTTAAAAGATTGATTTTAACAAGCAAAATCATACCGATTATTGATCAAATTCTTAACTTTAAGTTTGTACCAAGTACCTAGATTTGCATCCTAAAAAGTACCCCAAGTTCCGAGCATCACTGTTGCCACCTAACATAACCCCAAAATGTTTATTCGCTCCGTTTTGGCCTGCCAATTCGCATCATTCGCTTGGCTTGGCTTTATTTTGCCGCTGTTGCCAACAGCTGTTTTGCTGCTAGGCGTTGTTTTCGCTGCCGGCGTCTCTGCCGCACTTGACATTTTCAACCATTTTGTTTTGCTCGGCAACTTCGTGGATGCCACTGCCGAAGCTAACGGTAAAAGAGGCTGCATAATGGCGGCAAAAATGGCGACCCTGCCGCATCCTGCCTGCCTGGCAACAAAACACAGCTGACTGCTGCGCAGAAAGAGAAAGAGATGTGATGATGCCAGTAGAAAGAGAGGGCAGACAAGGGCTCCGATTAACCGCAAGTTTTGAACTCTTTTTTTTTTTGTACAGCCTACCCAAAAGAGGGTGGGAAAGGGGAAAATGGGAGGAGGATAGGATGTTGCTTCTGCTTTCATCATCGTCATTTGCATCTCGATTTGTTTGGCCTGTTGCCAAGCTGATTTATACGAAGCTTTTTTTTTTTATTTATTTTCCACTTTGCTTTTTTCTGCTTCTTTTTTCCCTTTTCTTTTTGCATTTTTCGTTGTTATTATGGCTTTGCCTTTACATTGACCGTGAATTTCTGTTTTCCTCTGTTTTTGTCTTGCGTTTCTTTATTTTTCCTCAGCAAATTGTGTTTTTATTGAGCTGCCTCTTTTGTAATTGTTTTTTGTTTCATTTCATTTAAGACAACAGTTTTTTATGGTTTTATTTTTTCGTACAGCTTAGTTTTTTATGAGTTTACTGGCTTAATAAACATTTTTTGATGATCTGCCCGAAACAGCTGCGACAAATCGAATCGGAAATCTTTACTCGAATATTATTTGCTCATAAAAGTTGAAAGTAGTTGGTGAGGGAAAAACTTAGGAGCCAGCTGTGAGACACATTTTTCATTTTGAATTGGCGAGAGAAGTGAGAAGACATCTTAAAAAGTTGGTTTATTGAGAATGCATAACTTCTATCTTGAGATTGCCAATTTATCAAAAGGTTTTTCTATGATTAAGCTTAAATTCTTGCAATTACTCGTTTCACAGCAACTATTCGGTCTGTCAGCAAGCTAGAGAAAAACCTTCTCCAGCCTGTTTACATTTAACACCATTCAGCGCAATGAACTTTACACATTTTTCAAGTTTAAATGGCCGCCAGGCACTCTGTCTAATAAGAAAAAAACGTATTACCTGAATATGAATATAAACTTGACACTTTTGAGGCACTATAAGCGTCGACTGATTCAAGCTCTGGCTCAGACGACAGTCTGCCAGGATCCCTAAGTTGGCTTTTGATTAAGTCTCCGCTGAGGCCGTGCTAAATTGTTTGCACTGAGGCGTTTGGGTTAAGTTTCGAGGGGGTGCGGAGGGGCTAAGGATAGAACGTGCTCAAGTTTTTGTTATGAAATTGAGCCTAGACAAGCCAAGCCATAAGGCCCCAATCCTCCTCGCTGACAACTCGACTCCTTTTCAGCAAACTGAGGA